AATACATACTATATATATATATATATATATATATATATGCATGTAAATAATTGAAACTAAATAAAAAAATTCATTTGCTAACACATTGTTTTCTTATATAAATGAATACTATTTATATGAACAATGTCAATAGGAAGAACTTATTACTTGCACTCTAGAATGCATTAAAATCTTTTTTCTCTCATCTATAATGTTTGGTAACTATTCTTTCACAGTTACAGTATAAATCACAACCAGTATACGAATCTAGAATGTAAGTTTTACGTTAAATATTTTCTAACATTTATACAAATACGATTTTCTTTGCATATATTTACGATTTTTACCGAGGTATTTCATATTTATACTGATTTTCAATTATATCCACTGTTATACCCATAACTGAATCAAAATCTATTTTTTAATTACTTTGCTTATCGTTTATAACTTTGGTTAAAATAAACCGACGAGCACGTACCATGTTTCGATTGTACATTATCCACATTATAATTAAAAAACTAATTATCTAAATATAATTCAACTATATAATTTTATAATTGTACTCAATAAAATCGTACTATCTAAAATAACAAATTCAAATTTTGAATAATGCCATGATAACATTCGTGACCAGTCATTATATATGACCAATCACTAATGTATGTAAGAATGACAAATTTATGCTAGATACAAATAATTTTTATTCACATTGATGAAAAATTATTGTATCAAGCGTTATTTTAAATAATACACAGATTATCTAAATTTAATTTACTAAATTATCCATGATTTCTAAATACGAAAAGAAGGCATATAATAAATATCAAAATCTAGTACAAGTTACTCCTAAAAGTCCATTATGTACATGCCAAAAATATTTAATTATGCAATATGTAATATTGCTCATAAAATTTGGAATGTATTTACATGTTTTACAATTTATGAAATTTGTTTTTAAGTTCTCATTGCTTTAATGATTGATTAATAACCTCTAATGAAACAGTAAAAAAATTATATAAAATTACTGAATTTAAATTTAAAACTTAGACATTTTTATATCGAGTATTAATTTACTAAATGATTTCTTTTTAAAAATAGAACACATATGACCTTATATATGCATGTTGGAACCTATATGTCAAGATATGTCTATGTTTAAAGTACCTTTATAAAAATTATGTAAAAGTCTGTAAAAATCCAAAGTAATAACTGGCGCATATAATGAATCTATAATGTATTTTATGAAGATTTGTTAGAATTCTACTATGTGCAGATACAATAAAATAATTTGATATAATGTACTGCCAAGTACCACATGTAAAAAACTATAGTTAAGTACATATCGTATTAAATTACCATCATCTTTGTATAACCATCATTTGCAAAATTTTGTTATGAAGAAATATACTTCTTTGAGGCATGAAGTACTATATATTAACGCAAAAATTATTTCACAAGTATCCCACTAAAATCAACTTGCACAGAAAACAAATTATTTGTAGTTTTCTAACTAATTACTTTTATTGCATTTTTATACCAATTTTTATGCAAAAATTTATAATTAACCGAGAATTATGTATGATTATTGAAATATCTAAATTTGATATCAAAATTTTTTACTGTGAGATATAGTATGTCAGCCACTAATAATTATAAGCCAATATTATTATAATAATTTATCATTTTATATTTAGATACTGAGAGATAAATGATTAAAATCGTATCCTTTTAGTTTCATATATAACGATCATTCTTTTCCTTGTAAGATTAATGCACAGTTATACTTCACCATGTCTTTAAAAACCGAAATTCGAATGCACCATTTCGGTTTTCCTTCATATATATCTATATAACATTAAAGTTACCTCCTTCCTCTTATTAATTATCAGTAACTGTAAAGATTGAAACGAAAAAAATGTACTATTTTAAATCATCATGTGATTTAACATTAATTGATAATCTTTGTTTAGTGTAAATGTACAAAAATTTTGTTATAATGATACTAAAGGTAGCGTGTGACTTATAATATGTCGGTTTGATTAGCGACATGATGAACTTTCTCGTACGTTGTCTTGAACTCTTCAAATCTTTTCACTTCCTTGAGCAACTCCTATACACATTATGAATTATAAGATACTTTATACTACATAAAAAAATTATTCTCTCTCTACATTATATTATTCTATTGAAAAGTCATACACAACAATAAGATTCAATAAGAAACAAATAATAATTTGCTTGATATTATTTAATGACAAATATGAATGTTAGAATAATTAATTAAATAGGGAAATGATATTACATGATATTGAAAAATGAATAAATATAACAAATTTGGTTAAATAAAATATATTTACCTTTGGCAGTGATTTTCTATCATAGCTCTGAGCATATTTTCCTACACACCGACTTAGTTGCACATAAATGTCACATAGTACTTCTACAGGAAAATCCTTTGTAATTTCAACAGTGGTTTGCCATGCATTCTCCAATTCATTCCTATCTACTAAAAACCTTTCGGTTTCCTCAAATCTGGCTGGACTAGAATCACTTTCAATAGCAAACGATAATTCATCTATACTTCCCCGTCTAGACGATGAATTAGATGCACTATTTTCCGCATTCTTCTCTTCTTCCGTAAAACATATATCCATATTTTCAATTTCATCAATATGTTGATCACTGACATTATTGCTTTGAATTCCTTGCATGTCTTTTGAACTTTCATTTTGCGAATCGTTTTCAGAATCAGAATTATCAAACAGAGGTACATGACCATTCAAAACACTGTTTGCCTCAGTTTCAAATTCTTGGAATTTTTCTAAATCTATACTTGTCGCTTCATTAGTTAAACATACTTTGTTATCAGATACAGTTACATTTTCATCAAATGCGATTTTCTTCTTTTTATGAACTTTCTTTACATAGCCCCGTGCCCAAGCTGGTATTCTACGTTTTCTAGAATTATTATATCTTCTTCCATTTACAATCAAGGAATGACTAGGACTCGCAATGTCTTTTTTATCTGTTCGTTCGGTTCCAGACGTGGATTGCTCTGCTTTTGACTGATTCTTATTTTCTACCTCGTTGTTAGACGTACTTTCAATAATTTTACGATTCTTCGAAATCTCACGACATTTATCCTCAAAGTCGGAATCCAATTCTGCTTTTATTAATGCGTATGCATTATCACGAAGAGAGCATGCACGGTGTCTTATCAATTTGTCAGCTGGATCTCTGTGAAAGAACATTACGCAATATATGTATACCATATAATATATACATATTAATATTATAAAGAATCATATCACTATCGAAAAGCAACATGAACTAATATGAGTGGCTTTCAATAATACAACTTTTTTCATATAATGTATCATATATAAATAATTAATAAAATATATGCCAGCAATTGAAAGCCACCTTAACTACGGAGCAACAACAGCAACGGATAAACAGGAATATCTGAACTACCTCTTTAATATTCCAAGGGAAGGCCTATCACGTAAGCTGACATGAAAACACACAACATGAATGTCAGTATCAACTTTAACTCCATTATTTATATTATTTATAATTGTATGTATAATGACAAAAAAAAGTAGGAGAATAAGTAATAATAAAAAATAATATCTGTGCAACATTTTTTTTGAATAATTTATGAAGAAAACAGAGTAGTAAAACATATCAAACGCTTCCGTATTTAAATTATAATATTGAAGTATATAGTTTTATAAGATTTGGTTAGGGATTTGATAAAACAAATGTTATATACTGTGCCCACTGACCTGTCAGGATTATATTCCAAAGCATTTCTACAAATGAGATCGATATCATCAAGAAAATCTCGAGCACAAAGGTAACAATGCATATCGATTTTTGTCATCATGGTTTCTAAATCCATAGGTTGTTTTATTATCATGTTATAATCTGGTACTTCTTCCGTATCTACTGGTTTTGTAAACATGAAGAATCTGCAATGTAAATATTTAATATTTGATATTAATTTTCACCTTATAAACAAAAAGTTATAATATGAAGATATTTACTGTCTATTTCTTGCAAGTTTTGCACAAATTTCCCTCAAGAAAATTCTTAATTCTCTTAACGAAACTTCTTCTTTTTCATATATTATTTTCTTTTCTTCTTCCGTCAATTTCTTTGGTAAAGGATCTGGTGCTAAAGGAAGCTCCTCTAGAACTTCTACTTTGTCATCTTTTATTTTTGGTGGCTTCAAGCTCTGAACCATGAAAATAGGTCGGAAGAATTTGGATCTTTGCTCTGCTGTTGGTGTTTTCATAGAATAAACTTCACTACGAAGTTCGCTAAACAGACTTTGAAGTTGAGTAGGAAGATCCTGATATGTTCTATCACTTGTGGCTAAAATTAAAATGGGTAAAGAAGGATCAAGTGCTGCAATACGACACAAAAAAACTGCTTTTACAGTTTCAGGTACAAGTGGCCACCACTGATCAATCGACCGAATGTAAATTATGGACGGCACATTCCTGGCAGCTTCGTTAAACACCTATATTATTCAAAATCGTATAAAATATTTTTAATTATAATTTACTAATAATACATGTTTCCTTTTATTATTGTTAACTAACCTGAACGCAGGTTTCTTCCGGCGATCGTCCACTTTCTGCAAAAAGAGTGCTAACATCTAATGTTTGAATTGGTAGATGTTCCATATGATATAATAATGCTTGTGCTAAATGTGGTCCTTGACCCTCAGACAAATTTCCACCGGAAATTAATAGCCTTGGACGATGAATTCCTTTAGTAATTTTCACTCTAGGATATTTAAGACAGTAATATTAAATAAGAAAGGTTAATATAACAGTAAAATAGTTATTCTTAAAATTTTGTTACTTTGCCATAGCAGAATTAACTCCTTGTGGAAATATTCCTTTTATCGAATTAAGCAACTCTTCCAATAAAGGTCCTAATAAGGGTTCCATAAAAAGTTGCAATTTTCTTCTAGCACAAGGTGACACTCTTTGTGATGATGGTACAAGAATGGAACTAGCTTGTAAAAAATCCCGTTTTTTCACCTATAAAAATATATATAATCTTATTATACTTATTTAATAGATATATGTTATCAAATAATAATAACATACTTTGATTCGTTCAGGATCTAAAAGTAACCTATTATTTGTTATATATATTTGCGGATAAGTTCTTCGCAATCCTTGCAAAACTGCTTCAGTGCATAAAGCTCTCAAGTCCGAGCCACAATAACCTGTCGCTTTTTCAGCTAATACCTCTAACAATTGATCAGGTGGGGGATTTTTCCACTTGCTAACGTGAATTTTCAATATCTCTAGTCTTTCTTTCATAGCAGGTAAAGGAAAAAATAATTCCCGATCGAAACGACCTGGCCTACGTAATGCTGGATCAATGGCATCTATTCTATTTGTTGCTCCAATAACTATTACCTATTACCAATAAAAAGAATGGAAATCAATCATAAACATTTGATAATTAAGCGCTTAAACATGTTTTCAAAAATGAAATAATTAACCTCTCCCCTATCACTGAGGCCATCCATAAGTGCCAAAAGAGTAGATACAATACTAGCATGGATTTGATCCTGTTTCGTACTTCGAACAGGTGCAAGGCCATCTATTTCATCAAAAAATATTATGGACGGTTTCATTTGTTGAGCCTGCTCAAATAACAATCGCAACTGGCGTTCGGATTCCCCGACCCACTTAGATAGACAATCTGCGCCCTTTCTCATAAAGAACGACATTTTTCTACTGCCTTGACTACATTCATTTGCCAATGCTCTAGCTATCAATGTCTTACCAGTTCCTAGATAAATAAATAAAGATGTATTAATAATCACAATGTGTTACTTTAAATATAACTAATGTAATTATAAATGTATAATAATAAATATAGATGTATACAAGATGAACCTACCTGGTGGACCATGAAATAATACTCCTTTTGGTGGGGTAATATGAAAACGTTCAAAAACATCTGGATACATCATAGGAAAAACAACCATTTCTTTAAGGCAGTGAATATGTGATTCTAAGCCTCCAACATCATTGAATCTAATATTAGTATCTAAAGTAATTGGATTTATATCTGCTTTACGATCAGGTGGTCCACCTTGAGGTATTGCTGATTGCCTTCAATAAAATGATTTTATTTGAAGAATAACTTGTATGATTATTTCTAATCTAGCAAAATATTTCCTAAATTCTCTTTTTACCTTGCTTTTTTACTTTTCTTCTTATCATAACGTTGAGGTTCTGAATCACTGGAATCACTAGAGCTTGTACTTTTGCTTCTATGTTTACGCCTTCTCATGGAATTACTAAGAACACTTCTAAGTGCCTTTATAGATCGCCGAACTGGTTCTACATTAGCTTGAAATCTATCTACAGCTGGTTTTTTCTGACGTAAACTATACTTTCTAGGACCGGGGGAATCGGAAGATTCACTTAAATCACTATCTACCACTGTAAAAATATTAAGTTGGAAATAATATAAAAAGACGTCTTTAGTCATATAAAGTAGTAGCATGTTTATGTCAAAGATAAACATCGAACCTGTAAGTTTCTTACCCCTTGGTAATTGCCGCTGTGCTGTCCTTCTAGTTCGTTTAATACGGGTATACATATCTTCATAACCCTGACAATAACATAAGTATTTTTTATTTTCTCATTATGTTCTAACAATAATTTTCCTCATTGATTCAACATTATTTTATACATGTACTAATCAATGTACAAATTATAAAACAATATTCTTATTTTATTACTTTATATTAAAAATTAGAACATAATAGCTCATCAAAAAAATTACAAAAAATTACTTACATCTTCATTTTCAGAATTATCGTTATTTTCAGGTTTCTCACTTTCTTGTGAGCTATCTTCATCAGCTTCAACACGTTCTACTTTAGGCTTCACATCCTTTTCACTTAAATTTCCACCAAGTCTTGTAGCAGGTCCTTCTCTAAGTCTACTTGGACTATCAGATTTTCTTGTCCTATACATAGGTTATTTTAATAAAGATTTAATCACATTTTAGCTTTATAAATTACCTTAATGAATATTTACCTTACATCCTTTTCCTCATTAGATTTACTTCTGGTTTCCATTTTATCTTTATGTTCCCTCTCTGTTCTTTCCCTTTCCTGCCTATCCTTGAGATCTCTAATATCTTTGTCTTGCTCTGTTTTTTCTCTAAGATCACGATCACTTCTTCCTCTAAGTTCTCTATTATTTTGTCTGTCATGTTCTGTTCTTTCTCTAATATGTCTAGAGTTTTTATTTGGAGGGTGATTTTCACGTGATCTAAGAGGCATGCGCTCTCTAACATCACGTTTTCTTTCAGGAACTTCATCCACCATTTCTTTGTCAGATGAAGAACCATGTTGTTGAAACATAGGATAACCTTTCAATGTTTGTGTACCTAAAATACATTAGAAATACTTCAAAAATTTTCACATAACAAGAATTTTTGCTTATCTAACACCTATTTTATCTAGAACATTATTTAAAAGATAGACTTTATATGTTACATAATATTCAATAATTTTCTTGATATGATTTAACAAGATTAAATGTAAGTGATATATATTACATATAGAATCAAGTATGATTTTAAGATATGCTTTACCTAAAATCCAGCTAGTATTAAGATTATCATATGTTTGCATTCTATGACGTGTGCTACGGCGCACACTTAAGTTATTCATAGATATATGAGAAGTAGAATTTGAATGTGATCGTAAAGTACGCAAACTTTTAACCCTTCTGGCATTAGAGCCCAGGCTACGGTTTCTCGGAGAAAAGATATCTTCTTCTGTATCCATTGAGTCCAATGCAGCATCGTCATCTGACATTATCTATATTGTATCATACAATTAAAAGTACTTCTTTTTTACATTTCAAATGATTCAATTATTATACATATATCTATCTTATGCACTAATATATTAACCTTGTATATTAATCTACTGCACGTGCGTGCGTGTATGTGTGTGTGTCATTAAAACAATTATAGATATATAAATGTATTAAAAACTTATTTAAATTAGAATGGTAATATTTTATAAAAATAATTGAAGTAGAAGGCATAACATCAAGTATTCTTGTGAAATACAGTGGAAAAATCGTATATTTGACTCATAATATAATGAAATAAATTATATAACAATGATAGAACTTTTTGACAGTTAATAAACATTTTTTCGTATTTTTTGTTGTTCTTTTTTACGAAATGGAACACCGCCCACTTAAATATTTTTGCAGAACGCCGAAGAGTATGAAAATGAATGTAAATTACTTCTTATAAAAAAGTGACGATACAATTAATGATTAACCATAGAAATTGTAAAAAAGAAGATTGAAATTAAAATATGCACGATCTATAATAATAATAAACAAAGCACCATAGAAGCAATTAGATTCACCCTGAAACACACGAATTTTAACCTCAGGAATTATTTAGCGTTTGAGGTCATCGATGTTCGAAATATTTAGCATTTTACCAAATAAATTACCTTCATCTGGCCAGTTCTTGCTGCCAATTTATACTTAAAGTAAAAAGAAAACTGCTAACGTCCGTCATATGCCTTAGGTAAAGTAACACCACTGCCTCGATTGAGTGCACGTAGCGCATGCACACTGAACCTCCACAAAGGTCGTTTTATGATCGACTATCACTTAAAATTATGTTACATTAACAACATGAATAATAAAGATCCACATGACACATGTTATAACCAATAAGTTCGTCGTTGCAATAAAAAATTTCTTGTCGAATCGATGATTACAAAATTCGTATCCGCAAACTATCATTGCATACGTGAACACATACTGAAATTAGCTGTAAATGTATCTGTAGATCTAACCTAACCCGTTTGCAATTGTGATCACCTTTAAGTATATGATGTAAGAATACGATATTAGCGCGCTCTGAAATAAAACGAGTTAGCTACTGATGGTAAGTATATGATATATGCATAAATGTAATTATTGGTACAAACATTGACTAAATACAGAATAGATCTATCATCGCATAAAGTTCATATCATATGTTCTGAAATACTGATCGCACAAAAAATCAGAAGTTTTGTTATTTAAAATGCTAAATTTAGGAATTACAATCATATGACTGTTCCTGGAAGTTAAGGCATTTCAAAAATTTTTAAATCAATTTAAATTGAGTTATATATTTTTATATACTAGAATAGATGCATTTTTTATTTTGTATAAAAAAATATTTGTTTTTAAAAACGATTAATTAAAAGGGTACTTTAATTCTGTAAAATTTAGCATATGAAATGCTATAAGACATAAGATCACTTTTTCTCAATATATTTCATTTAAGTTAATGCGGAATGAATTTATTAAACTCGTTGTACTTATTTTTAATTTCCACTTCCTTTTCCTCAAATATAATTATTAAAATTTGATAGTGTTTTAGTTCTTTAGTAAAAGCGTGTAAAAACCTGCATCGTAAGCAAAGATATATTTAAGAAATAATGTAATATGCTTGTTAAAACTTCACTTAATTGTTTAAAATTACATATATTTCGCAATTGATTTAGGCATAATTAAAATTAAGTAAATAAAAAAGCATAAGCTACTGAAAGATGTTTCCTTTAAATGCATTTTAGATGTCATATATTTGTACTTATTGGAAAGTTAAAATTTCTATAGTTTCTGTAATTTTGGGTGTATGAAATTATGAAAATAATCTATAATATTTTATATATTTACTAATTATACAGTGTCTGTAAATTATATACGGTTCGTGAATGTTCTGTTTGTATAATATATATAAATTATAAAGATAATTAAAATTATGTACAACAATGTTTTACTTTATAGGTTATAGCTCTCTGAAGGTGTATCTCAAAAAAACTGAAAAATTAAAAAATTTTATTCATTGTTTTCTAGAATTAATTTAACATTTTTAATGTTTCGTGGCAATCAGTATATTATTAGAAATAATTTAATTTCTTCCCGTTTTATAAGATTACAATACGGTAAGTTCATTAACATAACATATACATACATGTATATACATATAAAACACTACTATTGAATGAAAATATAGGACAATTATTTGAAAATTATTAAAAAATATTATAATATTCTAGTATTCTTATGTTAATTATATATATTTAATTTTAGATAATTTTTTTAATAAAAACATGTCAAGCAGTATTAAACAAGATGAGAATATTATTGAACGAACTAATAAAAGACAAATGATCGATGAAAGTTATGAAATGATAACAAAAGCTCCAAAGGTAGAACCAACTGAAGATGTAGTACAAAGAAAAAACAACGTTAAAAGGAAAAACTTTGTGATAATGTTAAGTTACGTGGGCAAAAATTATTGTGGTATGCAAATTAATCGTGGTAGGAAAACTATTGAAGAAAGTTTATTATCTGCTTTGTTGAAAGCAAATTTTATTACGAAAGAACAATTCGAGGATGTAAGAGAAATTAAATTTCAAAGAGCTGCACGTACAGATAAAGGTGTATCAGCAGTTAGGCAAGTTGTTTCTCTACAATTGCGTAAGTATTATATTATTTATTTTACAGTTATATGAATAAAGCAGCGATAATTGTGAATGATAAAAATAATAATTAACGTCATTAACTCATAATCAATTGTAGCTGATTATGTAAACAAAGAAGATATAAATCAGTATCTTCCAAAGGATATCAGAGTATTTGATGTAAAGAGGGTAACAAGAACTTTTAATAGTAAAACTAAATGCGATGCTAGAACATACAGATATGTTCTTCCCACATTTGTTTTGGCTCCAGAAGATTCAAATGTTTTACAAATTGACGAAGAGGAAGAAGTAAATGAAGAACAACGACTTAAACAACTATCTATGATAGATGGAAAGCCATATCATGAATTCCGATTGACTCCAGAAATGCTTGACAAGCTAAATGAAATTTTGAAATTATTAGAAGGCACACATAATTTTCATAATTTTACATCGAAAACGTAAGTTATTTTGTATCGTAAAATCTTAGTATATTACTTTCTCTACTTATTATATTACTTTCTCTTAGAAAGCCATTAGATCCAAGAGCCAAGCGTTATATAATATACTTTCGTTGTGTTGAAACATTTATTGCAAATAATATGGAATTTGCAGTACTGGAAATAAAAGGACAAAGTTTTATGTTACATCAAATTAGAAAAATGGTATCTTTAGTTATAGGGATTTGTAGAAATATTGTGACAAGTGATATTATCAAAGATGTATTTTCAGTAGAAAAAATTGACATCCCTATTGCACCAGGTTTAGGACTAAGTTTACATTTTGTAAGATATTTTAATTTTAATTAGTTTCAAATACGAAATAGAATTATTTAATTAAGATCTTCCTTTATTTAGGTACATTATGAATATTATAATGAAAAATTTGGAAAAGATGGATTTCACAAAACATTAGAATGGCAAGAATGCAATGACGATGTTGACAAATTTTATAAAGAATGCATTTTACAGGATATAATAGATAAGGAAATATCAGAAAAAGTGTATCCTTTTTTTATGTAATAATTTACAGAGTAATTGATTAATATTTTTTAAATTACAGAATACTTTAATAAAAATATTTACCTTGACAAGTGTAATGTAGAATGATGCATTGGTTGGCATCTATCCTAACACCAAAGAGATTTGCATTTAAAGAATATGTAGTACAGTGTGAATATGTATCATGAGATCATTGTATTTTTTATCAAAAGTGTATTACATATATTTGTCAATAATAACTATTTTTAACTATTTTAAACTGTAATGTTATTACAAATGTATACAAAATCTAAAAGAATTTATTTAATTATAGAATATATTCATTTATCGTTGATTTACAAAAAAATTATTGTAATAGATTATCTCTGCTTACTATATGTACGTCTATAATTGCAATTATTTTGATTTTTCTCGTGTGATCTTCCAAGTGTGTGAAATATTAGTTATATGTTATTTCTATCTCGCTTTAACATATGATCATCAAATCAGAATAAAGCGAATATACATCCGCGTATTTCCCCTCACAAACATGCACACAAACAGATAAGAATACTTGTTGCCTCAAACGGGTTATTCCAGATTGATTCAGGATTAGTGACTGAGAGAATTCATCATTAAAGAAGCTAAAAGAATCTTCCCGGCAATTTTCTTTATTATTATGAAAAATACGATAATTATCATTTTAACAATTATATTCAGTAAGTAAATTTTTTTTTGTACTAAACTAGTTTAGTAGTGACCTTGAACTCTGACAAATTTTTATATATACCAACCATAGATAATAAGTATATTTGCAATACATGTTATAACATAAAGCATATTATCATGGAGTGAAATTACATTGTTTTTTCGTAATTGTATTATTATTATTATTCTAAATTTTAAACAATTTCTTGCAGAAAGATATACGATATATATTCTTTATAGCTTAATGTACAAATTATAGGTTTAAAATAAAATAAAGTAAAGAATTTGAAACGTAAAATATATAGTTTATTTATTTTATAGGTTTGATGAAACATGGATATACACAATGTGGGTAAGTTAATATATCTTTTTATAAATATACTGTTATTTTACATCAATAAAATATTTTATTTACGTCATTAATATGAAAGTAATAATATTCATTAACAAACATACATTTCATGGATTTATAACAAAATTCATTAATGTCTTTCTTATAGTATAGAAACATTTCAATGTAAAAATGGAGACTGCATAAAGAGTGAATTATTATGTGATGGGCAGGCAGATTGTAAAGATAGCTCTGATGAAACAGTTGTAGAGTGTACTAAAGCTGAAATCATATGTCCAAATTATGCATTTCGATGTTCTTATGGTGCATGTGTAGATGGAGATGTAACTTGCAATGGAATACAGGACTGTATTGACAATAGTGATGAAACATTGTCTAGATGTACAGGCATTTCATCCAATATGTCTTCATCTGTATCGTGTAGAAAAGATCAATTCACATGCGCTAATGGACATTGCATTGATAAAAGTAGTTTATGCGATGGTAAAGCAGACTGTGCAGATAATTCAGATGAGACATATATGCAATGTGGTTCAATCATGTAAGTTGTAAAATTAAAGAAAAAAGTCATAAATTTAATGTAGTATAAATATCTCTGAACTACATTACAATTTTACTTGCATTATAATTCATTTCTGTAGAAATAATCAAACTTAATTTATTAATTAACTTATATGGTATAACTCTATTTGACATATTTATAGCTGTCCAAATTTCTCTTTTCGTTGTGCTTATGGTGCCTGTATTGATGGTGATTTAAAATGCAATGGAGTTGAAAACTGTGCAGATGGTTCCGATGAAGATCCTGTGAAATGTAAATATACTACAGGAACAACTTCAACTCCTCCTCCTATAATACAGCGTCCAATACCTCCTATTAGTTCCAAATTTTGTATTGTACCACCAAAACCAGAAAATGGTTATTGGAAATTACACAAATCATATTGCTGTGATGTGCAAGCTGGTCAAGTATGTAATGATTGTGATGTTGCACAAGGCACACGGTTAGAACCAGGACAAGAATTAATATACAAATGTAATCCTGGTTATAAATTAAGTAAAGATACTCGTCCATTTTGTAGCTTGCAAGGTAAATGGGTAAATATTCCAGAATGTAAAGGTATGAAAAAAAATTATAAAGTAATATTAAAAATAGTAAAAAGATATTATTGAAATATACTTGTGTTTTACAGAAATACGTTGTAAAGGATTAGAATCAGCTTCAACAGGTGTTAGTTGTAGACGCAATGGTGGATATACTCCATGTTCAAATCCTGTTCCTGGAACAGAAGCAATATTATTCTGTCGTAATGGTTATAAAGAACAGACAAACTTTGCATCATCACGAGTTACATGTAATAAAAATGGTGAATGGAGCCCCAATCCAATACAGTGCATTCCAGGTCCGCTAATGATAAATATTTATATTAATAATTCTTCTGTCTTATTACAAACAGATGCACAAAGAAATTACTCTATGTTTATAGAAGTTTTTGATGATAAAATTGTTATTAATACAAATAAAGGGAAAAATAATAATCTAGATTTGGCATAGGAAATAAAGTTGTTAAAAGTCTGGATTCAATACTAAAAATATAATATAAAATAATTTTATACAGTATTATAATTATAAATTAATACATTATTTCAATACGTTATAATGAAGGTTTTAATTTAAAAGAAAGTATTATTAAGTATATAAAGTATATTGTATTATAATCTGTGTGAGATAAGTTGCACATATTAATCATATTTATGTATATTCAGTGGAATTTATATAATATTATAATAATGCTTATGATATATATTATAATAAAATTGAAGAATTTCTAATGCAAATTTGTTAATATTTTGAATATTGTTTGCTACCATTCAAATTTATATAATAATAATTATTTCTCTTTAATGATATGATACAAATATATATTTTAGCATGTGGTGTTCTACCTGTACAGTATACACCAACTATTGTAAATGGAGCTCCAGCTAATATTTCCGAATTTCCGTGGCATGCTACACTCTATAGGGCGGAGAATTCTTTTGCACCAAAAAGATTTATTTGTGGTGCAACTATTATTCATGAAAGACTTCTAATTACAGCAGCACATTGTGTTTATGATGAAGTGGCTCAGAAACTGGACGATGCTTCAAAATTTTACATAGTCACAGGCAATATTTTTCAAGATTATGATTCTCCTTTACATAATAATATAACGGTGAAGAAGGCAAAGGTATCTATATTTATTATTTTTAGTGTTTTGAATTTCTATAACTATTATAATAATCATGTCCTTTACATATATTTCAGGTAAAACATATATACTATCATTGTGATAGATACAGAGGACTTAGCGGAAATTATGAAAACGACATAGCTATATTGGAAGTTACACCATCACTTACATTGTCAAACAGATTAGTACCTGTATGTTTAGATTCGAAGGATGAGATTAAATTAGAAAATGGAATGTATGGAAAAGTTGCAGGATTTGGGAAGACTGCTTCAGGAGAATTTAGTGCAATGTTACAACAAATTACAGTGCCATATGTTTCTTACAGTATGTGTAAACATTCAAGTATTGTTCCTGAAACAGGACAAGTACTTATTACAAATGATAAGTTTTGTGCAGGTTATGTAAATGGTTAGTACAATATTATTGTTTTTCTTTTTAAAATTTAATATAAAATTATAGTACATTGTTTATCTTACATTAAAGTTGATCAAAAATATGTAAATCACAGGGTCTTCAGTTTGTAATGGTGACAGTGGAGGTGGATTGATTTTTAGCAGCAATACATTGTGGTATTTAAAAGGTATTGTTAGTGTTACTATTAGTAAAACAACAGGAGGGTCTACAACATGTAACAGTGATACATATTCTTTGTATACTCAAGTTTCCAATCATTTGTTATGGATTCAGGATATTATTTTATCGATAGACCAACAATCATTACTACCTGTGTGTCCTACATAATGAAATGCTCACCATTGCTTATACTCTACCTCTAATGAAATATACTAATGTAACTGAGATTTAAAGTACTATTTACCTTTCTTTGTACATAGAACATGTTGATGAATCTTTTAAAGAATGATCTATGATAATATATCTATTTTATATTAATGTACAATCATTCTTTTATACATAAATGAGGTGTCATATACTGGAGGAAGCCATACGATGGAGATACAAAATTATACAATATTTCAAATATATTTAATAAAAAATGAGTAAGGTGATTTACATGTTAAAAATGTATGAATATATAAAATCTTTTGATACACAAACTTTAAATAATATTATTTTTTTAATTTATACAAAATAAATTATATACTTTTATAGAAGTGCAACTAGTATTATATTTAAACTCATTATTATTTTTTCTGTTACAAGCATAACATTTATATAAAACCTTGGTTATAAAACAATATACAATAACTATTATGAAATATATATACACATACATATACAAGTACTATAATTACTTCTGTACTTGTCACAGAAAGACAAACCATTCTAAACAGAATTTGGTGATATCCATATTTTATTTATGTTTACACACATTCATATTGTTTTGATATCTTTTCATTGTTAACCCTTTTTGGCAATTTAGATGATACATGGAACACAGTAGCGTCTATTTAAAAAATATAATATCAAACATAATATTAGACATTAATAATAAAACTAATATAACATTACAATACAAAAAAATATAATATAAACATTTTACCTTCAACATGTAAGTTTTTTAAGTTCGTTTGAAGTTCATCTATGGTAGAACTTAATTTAGTATTTGGTACTGAAGGCAAAATATTTTCATCAAGTTTCATTAAGTCTGCCAATTCCTTTTCTAAATCAACATTTGAATCATCATTCTCAAGAGACTCTGATAATATACATTGTACTTCTTTTTGCTCTTCCAAAGCCTGCAATTTCAATCAACATAAATATTTTAATATAAGTAAACTAAAAATTAACTATTTAGTTCCGAAATTTACTCACTTCTGACAGGTCATCTACAATATCTATAACATTAGACTCTGACAAACAACTCTCGTTAAGTTTTTTTAATACATCTGATCCTATTTTGTAAGCTGATATCACAGTAGTATTTGTATGAGTATTTTGAATACTTGTTATAAGGCTTTGAATATTGTTAAGTGTTTGAGCTCGCTTTTCAATAGTACTTTCCAATTCTTTCTTTTTTCTCAAATATGTTTTTGCTACCTGCCGTAAACCTTTTGTTAAATATGACTTTGCTTCACTAATAATATTAATTTTTTCTTCTTCCATAAGTTCTATTTCTTTTATAAGTATATTTTCTTGTTTCATTAACTTGTATAAGCCTTCTTCAATTTCTGTTATACTATCTGATGAATGTGCAGCGATTTTAATCAATAATTCACTTTGATTTTCATTATTTCCAAAAACCACCTTTTTTTCACGCATCAACCATATTAAGATTAACATTATAGTATTATCTAATATATTTTTATCCATGTCAGATTTACAACTTTTTACTAGTTCAGAAAATGGTATAAGAATACTTTCTTTTTTTCTTTCTAAAATAGAAAGTATAACATCTCCAAATTCTTTAATGACTTTTAAATGTATATATCTAGTCTCTTTGTCAATTTCATTATTAACAACATAACTTCTAACTTTTGAAAATGACCACACAAGTGGCTTTTTCACAAATGTATCAATTGACCATGCAGTCCATGATTCACAGGGTTCTTTCAAAAATTCAGTTTCTGGAATTATTTCATTATTCCTGTAATATTATATAAATTAATCTTCAATGTAGATTGTTCTTAATTGTATTTTTATAATCTATGAAGATAATATTACCGATGTAATTCTTCAACAACAGTTACTAAACAAAGCGGTGTACAACCTTTCCTTCTAAAAGCACCATTTAAGTCTGCAATAGAAAAGCTATTTCTCTTAGTGTATTTTAACCATTCATATATTAAATTTTGCCAAAATTTATATTTCGATACCCAATCTTGTGGATTAGCAGATTTAGTTCGAAAAGGGGAAAACAAAGCACTAATCCTTTCTTCTTCATTCCAACATTTAGGCATTTTTTCAGAGGGAAGTGGTAAGTTATTATCTACATCTTCAATTTTTGTAGTCATTTTTTTAGCTGAAATAATATTCTTTTAAGTTAGGTTATATTTTTACATGTAAAAATAGAAAACGTAAAACAATAATATTTACCTTTTTATGATAATATTAGTTCTACTATATATGATTAATATCTTTTTTAATGTTATCAGATATTAATAATTTTTCATTATTAAAAAGTTGATTAGAATCTTCCTTTCGATAAAACTGTCATTAAATCGTTCTGAGAACGTAGTACAAGCACCTAACCGTGTAAGTACTCAGTAGATTCAGTTATTATTCTATCTACTACCAGTTTTGCTACTACTAGATATTTTGCTATTATATAGATTCATTCATTTTGTAAAAAAGCAGATATATTTTTAAGTTGTGAAATACATTTGCTTAGACTAACGTGTATTACAGTAAATTTCTTATTTAAAAAAAAAAAATGCTTCGATGCTAGAAATGATTTGTAAAATTCAAATTTAGGCAAACTGACATTTTATATTATGTACAACAATCACATTTCTACTTCTGCTGGCTAACTACAGGTGTTTCCTCCCGTTTCCTCTTTGTTAAAACAAATGGCAACATTCATATGGTGCTCGTGACTTGCTTTACGCATATCGTGATAACAACATATAATTATAATATAACCATTTTTAATATAATTTTTATAAGAATCGTATTTGAAATTATCTTAAGTTAAAGAATGTAAATATTATTACTGCTTGAATATAAATGATTGCTAATAGCAGGTCATGACACGACGTCACTAATCCACTAATTATGCTACTTTTCTCTATTACCATCCGATCTTTTCTCTTAATCTCGCCTGATCTGACAAACCTTAAAACTTTATTGTATTCATAGTTTGAGGTTATAAGTATCTGTCATTGTTACTGCCACTGTCATCCTTTTTGAAATTCGATAACAATATTAACTTTTTATATAAATATCTTTACATGTATAAATTAATATTCAGTAAATATTGAAACATAGTAAAAATGTCATCGTCTTTAGGCAAGTGAATATTGTTATTATTAGGTTAATGTTAGTTTCATTGTTATTATAAATTATATAATATATTTTAAAGTAATGAGTTTTTATTCAGCAAGCTATTACATATATAATAACGTTAAGATTTGTTTAGTTTTTGAATTTATTTTATAGATTCTATAATATTCCTCATTCTTGTGGCATTTTTGTGGGGTGTAACCAATCCATTTATTAAAAAAGGAGCTAAAGGTTTAGAAAACGTGAAATCATCTTCTAAATTTTGCCAATTTTTTAAAGAACTTGCTTTTCTTATTACAAATTTAAAGGTTTCATTTAAAAATTCTATTATCTGAAATATACAGATGTGCTACAATTTTAATAATTATTCTTATTTTTATAGTACATTATACCATTTATCATTAATCAATGTGGTTCTGTATTGTATTTTTTAACTTTGAATAAAGTAGATATATCACTTGCCATTCCAGTCACTAATTCTCTTACTTTTGTAATAACGGCAATAACTGGTTGGATTTTGGGTGAAGAAAAAATACACAAAAGTTGGTATATAATTTGCTATTTTTTAATAAGATTTATAATGGAATTTATGTGAATTATATTAATTTTCAGATACATACATGGGAATGATATTGATTTTGGTTGGAACAGTCCTTTGTTCTTGGGATAAAATAGACAATACTATACAGCTTTAACCTTTTTAGCATTTCATTTTAAAATGTTTTATTAGTTGCAAATAGCAATTAAAATTTTAACGGATTCGTTTGTTTTGTTGTCTTAAATAAAATAATATTTATATTACAATAATTATATAGATATAATTATGTTGATGAGAATATAATCATATATTTTATGATTATATAGATCAGAAATAACGGGTTACATGTTATTATAAAATACATGGAATTTATGACACTGATTTGTTCTTAGTACTGAAAATATTTGGTATTATGCTTATTTATTTATTTCAGATTAATAACTGTGTTACACATGAAATATAATTCATTTTGGGACTTTAATCCTTCGACATTTAACATTTTTATTTCGTACACTTCTGAAGAAGTAAATAATTATATTAATAGATAACATAAATTTATAGATGGATCGATACATTGTCTATATATTCATGATATTTACATATGAACTATAATCATCAATATATACATGACAAATAAACAGCACCAAAGAGGAAGGAATATTGTAGATGTATTATCGAATTCACATCGTTGTACGAAATAATAACATATTACAGTAAAACAGATTAAATTCTGCAAGTTTTTTCAAAGTGTCTTGTTTTACTGTTAACATCAAATATTCATTATCACCAATATTCATAATCATCACTATTCATTAATTTGAAAAATTATAAAATGTGGTAATTAATAGCCGAAGAAAAAGATTAATAGGAAACATAATAAAGCAAATATAAAGGTCATTGTTAGAAATAAAGATTATTATTACAAATATTTACAATTAGTATATGTAAATGAGATTGAATTGATCTATGCACAATAAACATTTAGAAATTATACATATAACTGCTAAGTATCTCCTTGTACACTCAAAGATGGTGATTGTTATGATAAAATTTAAGAAATATTTTTTTATGCTGTCACTCTTATCTTAAAATATAATCAATATATTAAGAAAATACTTTGCATGTTCGGAAATTTTGATTTCAGTTGAAATAATGTGTATGGATAGTTAGAAAAACGGAAATGGCACTCTGATTCACGGTGAAATGAAATTATTTTCTTCCGTTTTTATAAACCACAAAAGAAGAAAAGGTAGTAGTGTAGTGTTGGTTCTGAATGCATTCTCATCTTATGCAACAAATTTAATTTGTTAAATTTGGCAGAGAGAAGGCTGTGTTGTGAAAGGAATATTAGGTTGTGAAGATCTCATTAAAATAAAAGTTGATGCTTTAGATAAGTATGTGTCTTCCAGTTGTGCTCTTTTTTTGTTGGTCCTCTTCTGTTGCCAGTTTAGATTCAATCATCCAAAAGGATAGTGTGTCAGTCAATGAAACAACTAGAAAATAGTGTTTTAACCATGTGTGTACATATTCAGATAATTTTACATTTTGTCACGAATCCGCATATGGCTATAATTCGTTCACAAAAGTAGTTTAAGCGCAATGTGGTTCACAAATCAACGTCATAATTAAATTTATATTATTAATTGTAGTTATAATGATTATATATTAAAACAACAAACAGAAACTTGTCAATTTTTTTTATTCGGTTAATAAAAATTACTTATTTAATCATTAAACCGTTTGCGATCTAAGGCGGATTTCTTATTGTACATTAGAAGAAACAAAATAAAGTGATAGAATAACTTGTTTATAATTATGTTCTTTGCGAGCACGGTGGTGGACCGACGAATGTGTTATCGTTAATCCCTTACGATTACGAATTACATACTTATAAAACTCAAGACTAGCATTAATCAATGGCCTGCCCTTCAAGCACGGGATTTTTTACTTTTCAGCTTAAACCAACCCGCACTCTTATTCGGATCGCGTGGAACCGACGTGGACCTGCTTAATTCTGGTTTTGAGTTAGCGCTCCGTGATTTGGTGGCCAACGATTCCGTGGAAACAGTTCTATCCACCTTCTGCTTGTCTTTCGATTTCAACGTGCTACGATTAATCGTGCCTGCAGTAATAAATATTGTGCATTAATTCGTTACTCTGATACATGATTCTTAACATATGAAATGTGGATAAAAAAATAGTATTCCATAAATAAAATGTTTTCCTTTTTTCATTTATTTACAAAACATCATAAAAGTTTATTTTTACTTTAACATAATTATTTTAGATTCAAATTCACATTTGTTAAAGTTGTTACATCAAAAATTCAAAATATTTCTGTGAATTTTCTATCCACATTTTATATTTTGTAGGTATTCTTTATTTAATTTTTACCGGTTTTCGAGAGATTATCTTTGCTTCGTCGTATATCTTTTCCACGACGACTTAGCGTTTCACGACTTCTCTGCCTACGTCTCATAGTCGCTAACGGCTTTGGATGCAGTTGTTGATCGTAATTTATTTCGAAAGGTTCTCTATAATGTCTAGGCTTCCAAGGTGCAAGAACACTGACACTTCTTGATACTGTTCTCGTGTGTGATTGAAGTGGTCGATTTAATTCCTCCCTGCTCGCTGCTCTACGTCTCTCATTCGGACCAGGTATTTCGCCCACTAAACAAAAATATAAGTCGTGTTTTAGATATCGAAATACAAGATATAATTTATCGATTACGATAGATTTTATAGTAAGGCAAATGGAATCATTTTTATAATGTTAATAAGTACGTAAGAATTTATAAAAAATAAAAATAAATTTCAAGTAATTATTTTACAAGGCGTAATTATTTTACATATGAAAATATGGCAATGAATATTACTCTATCAAGACCAAATTTAATACAAAAAAATAAAATAGCTACAAAAAGAAAGAATTGTCAGATCTCTCATTATTATTATTATTTTCTCAAGAAGAATAATTTAAGAACTTTTTAACGGTACAAAATAAGTTTGGACATTTCCTTATTGAAGTTTTAAAACTGTTTAACATTGAATACATATTATATATTTAATTGTTATAACACATTTGACAATTGTTAATAATTACCTGTAGCAGCATGAAGATATACAACAGATCTCTGTGATCTTTGAGAGTTCTGACTTTGTTGACTGCTATCTCCTGTTGTACTCTCACCGGAAGACAATGCGCTTTCAGCGAGCCTTGGTGGTTTCCGGGGTGGAGACAAAATACCCAAATTGTGGCGACTGGAATTCGTAACATCACGCCCTGAACAGGCATGGTCGTCTCGCTTGTTTCTATAAAACGCAAACAATTATATATGCAATAAAAATTAATTTATTATTTTGTACATTTTTTATGCACATTTTATTGCTTCGAATACTTATAGGTATTTGCCTTTTTGAAAAATTTGAAAAAAGTTGATATAAAATACAAAAAAAAAAAAGAAATTAATAAATATATGTAATGGAGAAGGGAGGTACCCGAGATTTATTTGAAATATGTCTCTCCCGATAATCTGCTATTTAGCAAAGCATTATCGTAATTGCTATTATGTCAAATGGATGCAGCCCACCTGCGATCTCTATTGGAAGAAACAGACTCCTGATCAGTGTCACCAAAGAAACGCAAATTTTTTTGTACAGAGACACGTTCGGGTGCGGATGAAGCTTCCTCGTCCTCAGTTCCGGTGGTTAAGATTTCGCTTTCCGGTATCCTAGGCTTCTTATCCACTGTCTGAAACAATCAAATTAATGCAAACATCAGTAACGTAGTCGCAGGATTATTCCGCTGAAACAGACAACAAGAAAGAAACTATTTTGTAACTATGGACAATAAAAAAAAAGTGGTTCAAGTAAATGTTATTCGGGTGGATAAACTCTATGCTGATAATAAAAAATTAATACAATCTTTCATTTAAACAAATCTAGGCGTCTCTTTTTCCCT